AAGGAGTGTGGGTACCAGTATGCAGGAGGCCCGTTCGATTCGGGGTCGGGCAATGCGTCGCCATGACTAAATAGTCTTTTTTTTTTGGCACCGCGTCTCTATTCCCTCGCTGATTCAATTCTACAGATTGCAGGGAACTTTCATTCCCGCTGCTCAACGACTGCGTCCACAAACTCGCAAGGTCCGTATGAACTTTAACATTCCTCGTATGAACCCAACATCCGAGCAAGGGAGGAAGAAACCCGATAGCACATGGAGTGCACCTGCTTGACTTAAAAGAAACGTGGTGCGGCAGTATATGCAGGAGGCCCGTTCGATCCGGGGTCGGGTGATAGCTGGAACGTTCTGTCTTGTCTTTTTTTTGGCGCCTCCAAATATTTTCCCGCTGATTGGTTCTACAGAGTGCAGCGCAATCTCAGCACGATTTCGCGTTCACTCTGCTCAAGACCTACATTTCATAAATTCAACCCCACTTCGAAAGCCCCTCACAACACTCCTTAAAAGTGCCGCATAAATCCAACCTCTAATCAGGGTAGACAACCACCCGATAGCACTTGGTGTGCGCCTGCTTTACTTACTTGATCAAACCATCCAGTATACGCAGGAGGCCCGTTCGATCCGGGGTCGGGTAATGTGTCGCGCTTATGTGGTTTTTTTTTTTAACTACGCTGTGTATTCCCTCGGTGAGCCCACTGCGGAAGATCAGGAGTCTACTGTGGTTTGCGTTCCCTCTGCTCAACGACTGCTCCATAAATTCAACCGCACATTGCAGGGCCCGTGTTGAACTCGAAAACACTCCTCACAAGTCTCACACAAATTCAATCACTCATTAAACCCTTCAGCCACCCGATAGCACATGGCGTGCGTCTGCTTTACTTACTTACTTGACGGGATGTGATGGCAGTATATGCAGGAAGCCCGTTCGATTCGGGGTCGGGTGATATTTGAGCGGTCCTGGCTTTTTCTTTCGCGTTTTCCTGCACAGATTTCTTGCGGCTGAACTGAAATTATACAAAGTGCAGCGAACTGCATCGCGATTTGCTTTTTTCGCCGCTCAACATCTGCATGAAAAATTCAACCAATAATTGAACCGCACTTCTACCATCCTCGTAATTACATGTGCAGCATAAATTCAACCACTCATCGCGGGAGGAGGAAACCCGACAGCACGGTGTGCACCTGCTTTACTCGGCGTAATCCTTGTGGGTATATGTGGGAGGCCCGTTCGACTCGGGGTTGGGTGATGTGGAGGCCCTCGATTATGATTATCATTTTTTTGGCGACCCCCTATATATTCCCTCGCTGATTCAATCCCAGAGCTTGCAGTGAACAATTATCCCGAATCTTTACATAGCTTCCCCATTCATAATCACTGAGTAGCGACTCGTGTTTTTCAACCGCAAATTGTACAACACTGTACACATCGTCTTGAACTCGAAAGCCCTCCTCGTACTTACAGCTCTTTGCGGAACTTAGGGCGCGGGCCGTTTTTTCTGTTTTCTGCGGTTTTGAGAAGAACAGCTGCCCCACCCTCAATTCTCATTGGATTGCCTCGGCATATAGCGCGTTGTAATCGCGCTGTGAATCCGCAGTTACCTCTGTTTTCGATTTTGCATTTTGATGCCATCACAAAAATTTCACCCAAAAAATCCCAATTCAAGCAGGACAGCTGTAGCACTGTCAACAACATTCCTATGGACCCAGATTTTTGTAAGCATGGACTCTGGCATGTTCTCTAGTTGATAGGCTCATACGATTTGAGACTTCCACCCTCAATTCAATCCGGTGTGACAGTTGATACGTACACCATTTACACCATTGAAGCATGGCACTGTGAAGAGAAAACTGACCATGTATAGTTGTATAAATAGGACAGTTGACTCGATAACATACTAAAGTATGTGTTACAAAAAGTCTAGCTCCTTTGGACCGATATTGGCAAGGCTATTGGTGTCCTGCTGGACTACAGTATTTTCAGGTCAAATTTCAATAATGCCATCAAAATGCAAAGTGATGGATATGGGCAACTGCGGATTTGCAGCGCGATTCCAACGCGCGTTACGCCGAACGAATCGGACCAAAACTGAATCCAGGATGGCTGTTCTGCCCAAAACAGCAGAAAACAGAAAAAAACCGCCCGCGCCCTAAGTTCCGCAAAGAGCTGTAAGTGGCGCGTAAAACCAACCGCTAATTAGGGTAGACAACCCCCCGATAGCACATGGAGTGCGCCTGTTTCACTTGGGTTATGAGTCTAACAGCAGTACATGCAGGAGACCCGTTCGATCCGGGGTCGGGCAATGCGCTGGTCACTTGGTATTTTTCTTTTGTCGTCCACGCCTCCATATATTCTCTCGGGGAGTCTAATCCAGAAGATCAGGAGCCCACTTTGGACTTACTTTCCCGCCGCTCAACAATTACGTGCGAAAATTCAACGAAAAATCCAACCGCACGTCGCAAGTCTTGTCCTCGTAAGTGCAGGATATTAGATACATCCAGCCACTAATTAAGGTAGAGCAGCCACCCGATAGCACACGGAGTGCACCTGCTGTACTTACACCAGCGTTGTAAAGCTGAGGCAAGGGGCCCGTTCGATTCGGGGTCGGGTGATGAGGATCCCTGTCACCGATTTTTTCTTTGTCCGTACCTCTGTCTATGCCCTGGCTGATTCAATCCCAAAGCTTGCACCGAACAATCATCTCGAATCTTTACATAGCTTCCCCATTCATGATCGCTGAGTCATCCTTATTCAACCGCCAGTTGTACAACACGTCGCATGGCAAAGCCCTCCTCGTATTTACTTGAGTGCGGCATAAGTTCAGCCTTTGAACAAGAGAGGCAGACACCTGATAGCACACGGAGTGCACGTGCTTGACGTAAATGAAGGTAGGGTATCATGCAGGAGGCCCGTTCGATCCGGGGTCGGGTGATACGCTCCCAGGAAGCTGTTTTTTTTTGGCGCCTCCACACTGTATGTATATCTTCCCGTTGATTTTGATCTCAAAGATATACGCAACTCAATTTTGTACCCCGCTGAGTCTGCTCAACACTCAAGTTCCGAACCAAAGCGCGCGCAAATTCAACCCCAAACGCAACCACGCTGCGCAAAAGGCTGCGCTATAAATTCAAGGTTCGAACGAGGGAGGAAGACACCCGATAGCACATGGAGTGCACTTGCTTGACGTGATTTGATCGCCGCCAGAAATGGGAGTATGCAGGAGGCCCGTTCAATCCGGGGTCGGGTGATTTCAGGCGAACCACGGAGTTTTTTACACTGGCATCCCCTCTGTGTTTGCCCTCGCTGATTCAATTCTACAGATTGCAGCGAACTCGTCGTGATTTGCGTTCCTGCTGCTCAACGACTACGTGCAAAAATTCAACCACACCCCGTAAGGTCCGACTTGCACTCGAAAACACTCCTCGTAAGTCCGCCATATATTCGACGTACAAACAAGGGAGGAAAACACCCGATAGCATATGGTGTTAGCAACTGCACTTGGTTTGCTGCTACAATGCTGGTATTCGCAGGAGGCCCGTTCGATCCGGGGTCGAGTGGTGCTTCCCCGAAAGCCAATTTTTTTTGGCGACCACGCATCCATATTGCCTCGCTGATATCGATTCAATTCCGCAGATTGCAGGGAACGATGCTCATAATTCTTGTGCTTCCCATTCATGATCATCGAGTCGCGACTCAAGTTTTTCAACCGCAAATTGAACCACACGTCGCATGACCCGTCTTGAAGTCGAAAGCCCTCCTCGTACTTAAGTGCCGCATAAATACGACCGTTAATTTAGGGCAGACAACCACCCGATAGCACATGGCGTGCACCTGCTTGACGTAAATGAAGGTAGGGTATCATGCAGGAGGCCCGTTCGATCCGGGGTCGGGTGATCCGCTGGGGAAAAGTGTCTTTTTTTCTCGCTCAGTTAATTGCACAGAGTGCAGGGAACGATCGTTGCAATCCTTTGTATCTCCACTCACGATCTCCAAGTCCCGCTTTCAACCATAATCACGATTCAGAATTGAACCACACGCCGCACGCGGCAAGAAGTATAGTATAAATTCCACCACGCTGCAAGGGAGGAAGACACCCGATAGCACATGGAGTGCGTCAACTTTGCTTGGTCGGCAGGACTTTTAAGTAAATGTCGGAGGCCCGTTCGATTCGGGGTGGGTGATTTCGCCATCCGTGTCGTTTTGCTCTTCTTGGCGACCTCGCCGCGGATTCATTCGCTGATTCGATCTTCCAGGATCGCATTGAACGTCTCAACTCATGTGCTTCTCCACCCATAATCACCAAGTCTCGGTTTCAACTAGAATCACGAATTGACCAAACGTCACACGGGACAAGAAGTGCAGTATCAAGTCACCTACGCTGCAAGGGAAAAAGAAATTCGATAGCATATGGTGTGTACTTGCTCTGATATTAATGGTTCCGGAGGGACATAGCATATACGTAGGAGGCTCGTTCGATTCGGGGTTGGGTGATGGGTTATTCCGAGTCGTACTACCACCAGTTGCCTTTTCTCTTTCTCTTTTTCTGCACAATGTTTCTGGCTGCTAATTTAAAATTCAGGCTCACGACGGGGCATCCGACCTGGACTCGGGCTCGGGCTCTTCGATTCTTGGTTAAAATCTTCTGAACCAGACCCACGAAGTGAACCAGCCTGCATGCCGCAATGACGGTGGAATAATTTGAACTACTGATAAGGGAGGTAACCGCTCGGTAGCACATGGTGTGCCCCTACGAAGCCTGAGTTGCTGGAGAATATGTACGCAGGACGCCCATTCGATCCGGGGTCGGGGGATCAATTGGTAGAATTTCTCTTCTTTTTGTCCAGCAGTAATGCAACCGCTTATGAAAGCGGTTACTTTAGTTTTGGCCACACTTTCGTCGTGCCGAATTAATTCTGAATGATTTCGAGCAACATTTGAAAAGGCGCCGGAATTGGCATTTCGATGTCTGGATTGCGATACTAATGCCAGAGTGCTCCGAATCAGCGACCCCTTAGCTCAGTGGTAGAGCGTCGCATTCCAGTTCTGGTGCTATGAGAAACATATTTCGCGAAGGCCGTCCGTTCAATCCGGGCAGGGGTCATATTTTGCCAACAACGCGTTTTATTTCAATTCCGTGCACCAGTCGTACCTTGGACCTTTTTGTCCAGCGAGCTCGGAGGGGACACTTTTCCAGTTTGCGGTGGACTATGCGTTTGGTGTTGCAGTTAAACTGAGGGGATGGATGATACATCGGATAACTGACAGGCGAGATTCGCACACTGCCCTCATCCAACCTGCTTCATAAAGCCCACATATAGGGCGGCCCCTCTAAGTTAAGTCTCGGGGGCTCAAACATCTTGTACTCTAATAATTATTTTCCCCTTTGCATTTCGCGCCAGCATCCGATCGTACGCCTTCAAGAAAATGAGATTCCGCGAATACCGAGACGCATGCACGCACCTTCAACGCGTCCTCAAAGTCAAATACCTCATCCACCACGACACGCAGCCGTCCCTCCTCAACCATCCGCGCGAGCCCCGCCGCCTTCTCGCCGTTCGGTGTCGTGCTGATGAATGCGTACCGCCGCGGCACGCCGCCCAAAATACACGGGAGGTACGTGTTGAGCAGGGCGCGCCAGATCGTGATGCCCGCACCCTCGAAGTTACCCACGTTGACCAGCAGTCCCTCCGGCGTCAGGTACGACGTACACCCCGCAAAGAGCGCCTGCGTCCCGATGCAGTCGAGGATGTACTCGAACGGCTGGGCGCCGTACTTCTTCGCGAGGTAATCAGGCAAGGGCGCGTTTGCGCGATAATCCACCACCTGTCAATGCGCGTCCCGAAATCAACAACGGCGAAGCGTAGGGAACGCGTGCTGACCTCGTCCGCCCCGAGGCTCTTCACGAGCGCGACGTTTGCGGCGGAGCACGTCGCAGCAACGTACGCGCCCTGGTTCTTGGCGAGCTGCACGACCATGGTCCCGACGCCGCCGCTCGCGCCGTTGACCAGCACGCGCGTCCCCTTGCGCAGTGTCGTCTCCAGGATCATGTTGACCGCGGTCTGCCCTCCCCCAGCCAGGCCTGCGGCCTCCGGCCAGGACATGCTGGGCGGCACGAGCGCGACGCTCTCCATGGGGATGACGATGTACTCCGCCAGGGTGCCCGCGCCCCCGATGAGCTTCGGCACGGGCAGGCAGCCGAAGACGCGCGCGCCGGGCTGGAGGTGCGCAGGCGCCGCGGGGCCCGCGAGGTGGACGACGCCGGCGAACTCGCCTTCGGAGACGTACTCCGTGCTCCCCGAAACGAGGCGTCGGACAAGTGGGGGGATTGTCGCCATCGTCACATAGCAGCCGGGGTTGAGGCTGACGTGAGAGACGCGGATGAGGAGATCTGCTCTTGCTGGTGGGGGTGGAACGGCGTAGTTTGAGTTCAACGTGAGGATTTCGCGAGGCAGCCCGCGGGAAGAGAACGTCCAGGCACGTTGAGACTTGGGGAGTGTAGGGTAAGACATTAACCACAATGTGAGAGATGCGCGCTTGGGAACGTTTGCTGTCGCTATCTGACCATTACGAAGGAAACAATATTGTTATCTGAGGGAGCGATGAGATGAGACGCAGTCCGTTGCCGCCTTGGAGCTCATTGCGGTGCATTCAATCATTCCTGCTAGATCTTGCCAGTGGTTACCAAGCGGCTAGTCTATCCGAGTTGATACAGTTTTAATAGGCTTGATCTGGCAAAGTTTCTCTGAGACGGCGGCAAAGGTTGAAAATCAACCTACGGTTCAATCTATGATAGGATGTGATTGAGCCCGGCGTAGGTTGAAATTGAACAGGCGTAGGATGATAAGCGCGGGGCTATAGGTTGATTTGCACAGGTTGATTTGTCACCTACTAGGGGGTCAAAACATCCTACGGCCAAATGGGCTGCGCGGCGTAAATTCATCCTGTCGTAGAGGATTCTGGCTAACCTATGTACAACCTGATACATGGTGATTTTTTGAGCCTATCTTAGGTCGATTAACAGTAAGCAAAAGGTTTTATTTCCCCCGGCTTTGTGAGACACAAAAACATACAGGACAGCAGTAAAATAGGCATAACGGGGAATTTTTGCGCGCCACAATGCATGGCGCGGAATCTACGGTACGCACGACGAACAATGGGAGACAAAGGGAAGCCCGAATGGGGAGAGAAGGCTAACGTTGGCGCTGTCAGGAAGGTGAGAAAGCTGATCTGATCGATGCCAAACCATTACTCGCCTCTTGCTGGTCTACGTCTCGCTGGCACTGCTGTCCTCGTCGTCCTCGCCAGCGCCAGCGCCCCCGCCATCGGACATGCTGTCTTCGTCATCCAGCATCATACGGCCCTTCCCCTTCGACTGCGCGCTTGTCGACGACTGGGCTTTCTTCGAGGGACGCTTGCGTGCAACCTCGCTCCTCTTCTTGGCGACCTTCTTTGCCTTGTCGACGTTCGCGTGCTTGCGGCCCCGGGGTGCCGAAGGGTCCCTCTTGGCTGAGTTGGCCTTGAGGTACGCATACTCCGCGGGCACCTCGAGCGATCCATTCTTGTAGCTGGTGCGGCGCTTATTCTTGATGGCCTGCTTGGCGATCTCTTCGGTGGCCCAGTCGTTCTCGTAGCGTTCGAGGATGGGGTGCTTCTTCGCGGCCTTGGTTGTCGCAGGTCTATCAGCAACATGCTCTACGAGGACTCGAGGCACTTACGACTCTGAAAAACTTGTCTTTCAAGCCGACTGGTACTTTCGCCCAGGGCAATTCCCACGGAATCCCAGCTTGCAGGAGAAGATCTCGAAGATTACGCTGCGGAGAATGATGGTCAGTATGATGTCGCACGCAAGAAAACCACGCACCAAGAGCATCTTGTATTTTTCGCGATCTGTCGTGTTACCCCCGAGGCCCATCGCATCCTGAATATTAAAATCATTGCCTGCGGTGCCGGAAGGTCGAGGGATTTTCTCGCTTGCACCATCAACGCCTTCGCTGGTCTTGGACTTAGCCTGGGTCTTTGCGAGTGCAAGCTGCTTCTCAAGGTGCGCATTCTTAGCTATGGCCTTTGCCAGCTCATCTGACGAACAAGCAGTGAGTATTTGCATCCAGGCTCAGCATATTCAGCAGACGCACCCGCCACATTGCCCTCGTCGCTCGGTCCGGCCGTTGCGGCCGCACTGACTTGATTAGTGACATCCGCCGCAAAGGTGCTTGGGGGTGCCTTCGACGCCTTCGCTGCGGCCAGCTCGGCTTGCAGCGCTGCGAGGGCCGCGGCTTGCTCCTTGATCTGCACTAGAAGTGGCTGAATCAATCTCGCTCGATGACAAAGCACGGCCACAAACCTTGCGCGCGATCCATATTCTGCTGTAAGAACACGTTCTCCTGTACCCTGGACCCTTCTATGTTAAACTTCTTCTCCATCTCTGCGCCGAACGGGTCGATTTCGCCCGCCGCCCGTGTCGCAGGCTTGCTTCCCCTTTTGGCAGGCGTGCGGTTCTCGTTGGTCTTTGCCTTCGTCCGTGCCGACTGCTTGGCAGGGGGCTTAGGTGAGGTTGCGGTACGAACCATTTTGTCTGCTGAAGATTCTTTCAGAGGGGGTGGGACACGGTGGTGCGAGTCAGAGAGAAATCTGGTTTGTTTGTGTCACGTTACAGATCCACGTATGCACCGCCTCTGAATATACTCCTCTTTCGACGTCACTGCGTATCAATGGCTCCCCTCGTCTGGTGTGCATGCTGCAATGAGCTGGTTTCACGAAAAAAAGAGTCGCGCCATCGCCGCGAACTAAACAAGCCCTACGCCGAACCACAAGAGTACCCTTCTCGACAGCGACGGGTTTTTGCTCCGAGCGCTGAAGAAGATAATTTCTGGGGAAATGCTCGGGCAGGGCCATCCCAGGCTCGCCAAACGGATCCTGGCGCTGACTCCGACGTCGAAATTCCGAGCCCTCCTAATCTCGACTTGGGTGCAGAAGCTGCCGGTGGCTCTGACCCGGGCGATCCAATGGATCTGGAGGAGCCTGCTGATGAGGAGACGCTTTATCGTGCCCCTCCGCATTTGTTGTTGCCCGAGGACGAGTCCGATTTGGATTCTGAGGAGGGCTCTGACGGCGGGGAAGAGGAAAGGGTTCGAGACGAGGATAGTGACGGCGAGGACGAGGATCAGGATGTCGACATATTTGACTGGGATACATTCAATGCCCCTACGCATGGTCTTCCCGAGTGGGATCAACTTGGGGAGTCATTTGAGGCCGAGGCAGCGACAGGTGTGTCTTACGGCTGTCCGATCTCTTCAGCGACTGACTTACGGCCGTCTGTAGCGATGAAACTTAGTGCATATGACCTTGCAATCTGCAAGGCATTTTCATACAAAGTACAGACAAACACGACGGACAGGGCCTTCCGAAAAATTCCCCTCGCCTTTCCCATGACCCCGCCATTGCCTAAAATTGACGCGCTGCGAGCGCGAGTCAATTTCCTGGCTGGCTTTAAGCCGGAGAGTTACGATTGCTGTACCAACTCGTGCTTGTGCTACGTCGGGCCCAACAAAGATCTCATGGTTTGCCCGTATTGCAAAGAGCCCCGCCTCCGCTCTAATGGAAAACCACGCAAGAAATTCACTTACATTCCGATCATCCCTCGCCTCGTCGCATTTGCCGCCAACCGAGATATTGCGGAGAAAATGGAATACCGCTCGAAGCACGAGCACAAACCAGGGACGACGACCGATGTTTTCGACGGCCGACATTACCGCTCGCTTTGCAAGGAGCATGTCGAGATCCGCGACAAGAAATACGACCACAAATACTTTTCGGACTCGCGCGACGTCGCCCTCGGAGTTTCATGGGACGGATTTGCTCCGTTCAAGCGTCGCAAAAAAACCTGCTGGCCCCTCATTCTGTTTCTGTACAATCTCCCTCCCGACCTTCGGTTCCTCCTGCGATTCGTCTTCGCACTCGGCGTCGTTCCGGGTCCGTACAAGCCAAAAGATTCCGATTCATTTCTGTGGCCCCTTGTCCAGGAATTGTTGAAGCTGTCTGTGGGCGTGCGCGCATTCGACATCCTCTCCGGAAAATTATTCGCCCTGCGCGCATACTTGATCC